GTCCTGGATTCATATTCTTATATCTTTTAAAGGAAAACAACAACGAGCTAAAAAATTAAAATAAAATTTGCCTTTATGTGTAATACTCCATAGAGAGGATTGGAATGAATAAGACAAACATCCAAAACATTTACATTAGTGGTTGGCTGTTAAACAGAAAAAAATAATGTCACCTTTCTCAAAAAGCTGACCTTAAAAACTGACATTTAAATTCAAAAGGACCCATTTGAACAAACTGCACATCACCTACATGAAGTGAAATGATTGCACATTGTCTCATGTATCTGCCCATTGTTTGTTAATGTAAGGGCAGAGAACCCATATTTTCTCTAAGCAATTTCATACAGTATAAATTCTCAGGAAAAAAATTTGCCATTTAAATCAGATAACCCATGTGACACAGTAGGCAATTGATCAAAGTTAGTTTTCTTCCTAATACTTGACAGGCCAGCTTGCTTTTTTTTTAGAGGATGTCCATATAGCACAGACACAGGCTCTGTTCTGTAGGAAAATCATCCTGAACTCTCCCCGAAGACCTGTGATTATTATGACACAGTGGCCCAAACATTGCCCCCCAGTTTTCAGGTGAATTTTGATAAGAAACATTATTCATTTGGTTCTGTTCCAGGTAATCCATTCAAGATGCTGATATTTCAGTTTTTCCTTTCCTTGTTTTGGTTTTATTTTTAATAACAACAGCTGTGCTCTGAAACAGCTTCTTCTTGTTCTTTTGACAGTGGCTGGAATCTGGGAGGTTTGAAAGATGCTTCTTCATATCACTGATCAAAGATTATTTTCCCTGAGAACTGGTTCACTCCCTAGCTGTACATTAATCAAATTCTCCCCCTTTTCTCAAGCGCCCAAAGTGTTTTCCTTCCCTCCCTCTCGCTTTTAGTCTTTTTCCACATTAGGAAAGTTGATGAAGTGGCTCTGTGGTAAGGGAGACTCAGAAGGACTTTCATCTCAAAGACCACAGATTCCATCTATCGAGTCAGAACTGGTTACTAAACCTCAGGCCTGCAGGCCTATGGCTTATCAGCTGCCCCCGGTGATCCCCTCCAAGGTGGGGTTGGAGTCAACACCAAGAATTGGCAGCAACCCATCTTGCATGTTTGTAAAGTGATGACCTACAGGGAACAGACTCCTGTGGGACATGACCCTTTAACACACATCCAGGATCCTTTTCTAAAAGACAACTCTTCACTTTCTTTGCTGTCAGTCTCTCAGCCATTTGTCTTCAGTGAGTCATTTTATTTTTTGCAATATATTTTTGGGCAATCTGTAATTATTTTTTATTTGGAGATCTAATTAAGAATCATCTTGGTCATATGAAACTTTTTTTTTTTTTGGTCTGAGCAGCATTGGGTAGCCATTACTTCACCCCACATAGCAAATGCCTAATTACTATGCCCAGCTTTTGGCTTCCTAATCATATTCTAATTGCCTGCAATTGTGCTCTTTCTGGCTTAGCCAGTCTTATTCTGAGAACAGTCATTCTAATTCACAATGAATATGTAAATAAAGAGCTGGTGTGTGCAAAACCAAAACATTGCGCCAGACCTTTAAGAAATGAGAAGTCAGCTTAGAAATCTGTTGCCTAGCAACACACTACTAACTTTGCTCTCCATTTTCCAAACCATTTGATAGCCTCCTGTTGGTTTGTCAGCATTCCAATGTAAAACTTCCCGCCTTCCCTCTTTAAAATTAGGAATGAATGTTTGGCTTTTTAGTTTCAAGAATTGACTTTAACCATCATCTGTTTTTTTTTTCTTCTGAATTTCATAATAATCCTGATTCCCTGGTTCTCAGTAGGTCCCAATTTGTTTTTCTTCCATGATAAAAACTACTTTATCCTCCAATTAAGTACTATATCTAAGAACAATTTTCATATTTCTTACAAGCTTCAAATCGAGGTTTAATTTTTTAATAAATAATACCACCAGGAAATTAAATTGCACTTTGTTTTGTAAAGTCCTATCATGCCCACTAATACATTTAATTAACACTTTAGATGCTTATCCAAATTTCTCTAGCTTATGACACCATGCTCAAAAATTGTTTGACCTGTAGAAAAAAGGTTATGGTGATGTCTTTTGTTGTTTTGTTTTAAATTAGGAGACAATATCCAGTTACTAGGCTTTCATGTGGTAATTTTGGCATTTAATCCTTATTCTAACCAGAAATCTAAAGGAAAATAAAAATAAAATCTTTCCTCCACTCCTTTTATTTCCTCCAACACTGAGCTTCATTTTATAGGTGATAAGCCTTGGTCAGAGGTGATTAACCAATGGAAAGTCCATTTCTCTCTCTTCTTCCAGTCCCAACCCCTCTGGGTCTTTGACTGGAAGCAATATCAGAGGAGGCTCCTGTGCTCAGCCTTATCTTTATCCTTTCTTCTGGCTATCTAAGGTATCTGAAATTTTCTCCAGAGAGAAGCAAAAAAACTCAGACATCTCCTTACGTGTTATAGCATGATTGCTTTCAGTGCCATAATGAACCACATCAGCCATGTTTAATAGTTCCTGAGTCTTTGTTTTGACTCTGACCCTTCTTGGCAATTCTCCCTTCACAAAGGCTTCTGTTGACTCCCAAATCATGGGCTAGCATTAGGGGTTGCAGACTTCAAAAGCACAGATTTCTATTCTTTGTTAATTCAGCCAGAGAGCAGTTTCCTAGGCAGCAGGGCACAGGTTAGGCAAAATAAATGGGCAAGTTTACTGAAATCATCCATATCTCCTCTCCCCAGTGAAGATACTCTGCAGGGCATTGATCTTTGCTTTCAGAGGCTGGAAATAAAGAAAGCTTCAGCATCACCCCATCACTCAGTCATGCAAACTAGTTAGATAGTCAATGTAAAGATGTGAATACATTAAGTTAGATGAGGGAATTTTTACTTCAAAGGACTGTGTTTAGACAACAACTAAAAGTAAGAAAAACAAATGTGTCCTAAAATATCTAAATCCTTTGGCAGCTATATTATTTGGTTTGTGTTTAAGGACATGTGGGTATGTATATTTTAAGGCTCCAAATATGTAATGTGAAGAAGTAGAGAAGAAATATATTTAAATACTCATCTTGACTTTCCACAATGCTTTCACTGACCAAATAAACCTCAGTAGAAAATATGTTTCTCTCATTATTATTTTTTTAATAAGTCTTTATTGTCCAAATTATTACAAATGTTCCTCTCCCCCCTTTCCCCAATAGCTCCCTTCCACCCGGATCCCACCCCACCCCATGCCCTTACCCCCCACCACAGTCCTCATTAATAGGTGTAAGATTTTTGTTCAATCTCTTCCCGCACCCCTCACACCCCTTTGCCTCCGAGAATTGTCAGTCCACTCCCTTTCTATGTCCCTGCTTCTATTATATTCGCCAGTTTATTCTGTTCATTGGATTTTTTTATTGACTTAATTTTTAGATTCACTTGTTGATAGATATGTATTTATTGTCACTTTGTTGTTGATAAATTTTATCTTTACCTTTTTCTTCTTCCTCTTCTTAAAGGATACCCTTCAGCATTTCATATAATCCTGGTTTGGTGGTGATGAATTCCTTTAGCTTTTTCTTGTCTGTGAAGCTCTTTATCTGACCTTCAATTCTAAATGATAGCTTTGCTGGGTAGAGTAATCTTGGTTGTAGGTTCTTGCTATTCATCACTTTGAATATTTCTTGCCACTCCCTTCTGGCCTGCATAGTTTCTGTTGAGAAATCAGCTGACAGTCATATGGGTACTCCCTTGTAGGTAACTGAGTTTCTTTCTTTTGCTGCTTTTAAGATTCTCACTTTGTCTTTTGCCCTTGACATTTTATTATTATTTTTTCATTTTTTTTCCATTTACAAGTATTTATTTAGGTAAGAGATCATAAAACACATTTTATAATACACATAAGAAAAAACACATTCAAATGAATAAAAGATAAAATGACAGGTGACAGAATTTAGTGTTTATAAATGAGACCATCAATAACTTTAACAATTTAGAGAAGAAACTCAAAGTATACTTAAAAGTTTGAGACCATGCTTTACAATATTTTATAACACAAAAATAAAGTGTTAGGCTTTTAAAGAAATACATTACTCAATAGTTTTTCAACAGATTTCATAACGGATTTCTAGACACTGTCATATATGACATAAAAAGTAAAGTCAAGAGCTTTGGCAAGCCAAGTATTAGTCCACAGAAGCTTGTGAGATTTACTTTCTTATATAAAAATTCTTCAATTTACATTTGTTCTTGTTATAGGAACAGAAAGAAACTAACATGCCAAGTATATCTGAGGAGTCTGTTAGCTATATAGGAAAAATAATTACTTTTGAAAGCCTACATTTTATGAAAATGTGTACCATGCAGCATCTTCAGCAACAACAAATGTAAACCATGTGATTATTAAGTCTTCTAAATAAAACATCTTACCCCCAAATCTCACACTATATCCCTTAAGTCTGCATCTCCTGTTCGGAGAAGCCTCAGCTTTAAACGAATGCCCATTTGCTCTTTGAAAAAACCCTTACCTCCATTACTAAAAATGTTTCTGTGAAGTCCCTTAGAAATGTTTTCAGTGTGACAGAAACAAGATACATCCAATAAAGGCCCACAACCAACAGGAAGAATTATGAGGCTAAAGAGTGGCTCTAACTCCCGAAGACCCCTCTGTGCTGAGACCCACAGCTCCAACAAGACAACTTACAATTCCTTACTTAAAAACAAACAAACGTTTTATCATGAATAACTGAATAATCAGGTTTCTAGGAAATGAGGCTTTTAGATTAAGATTTAGCAAAATCAACTATAATGAATTTTCCTCCAGGCATTTATGAATGACAAATCAGTTGAAATTTTACATACAAAACACATAAATACTGCATAATATGTAGTGAATATTGGCACATACCCTTTCGTTTTTAAAGCATAAAATGCAATCAGCATATCTGCTGCTCTTAAGATACACATATGACGGAGCTCAAAGCCACCGCTGAGCGCACAGGAACTGCCCCGCTCAGGGCTTCCCGAAAGGCTTGTAGCAAGCGTCAGGCTGCCAGAGGCAAATGTCCACAAGGACTTGATTGAGCTTCTGCATCCAGAGGTCCCGCTCTTCCTTGATGTCTGCAGACAGCCAGTGCTTGGTGACACAGTGTGTCCCTGCACTGGCTGACAAGCATCTATCGGTCATCTTCTCTTTGTGGTCGGACAGTAATTAATTCAAAAGTGTTGCATCTTGTGCAAAATTCTCTGTTGGCTGGTTCTATCTGATGACTGGTACAATTGGCCAGATTTATCCTTCCTATGGGATTCTTCCGTTTCTTATCATCGGGGTACGTCCAGTAAGAGATACAGTTTCCAGACAGAATATACCATTTTTGATGCCAGGTACCAAACCCACTCACATCTTCAAATATGGTTAGAAAACCTTTTTCTTCAACACTTGAATTCAATGGACATTTTATTTTTAAACGAATATGACCTTCCAAAAGAGATAAAAAGGGCACCTTTTCCTGGAACAAATATCCCAGTAGCTCTCGCTCTTTTACATCATAATTTATCTTGTCCACAGCAAACTTAGTGTTTCCAACTGAAGACAAGGACAGCGTGTAAGATCCAACAAGGATAAAGTTTCTGGTGCACACAGCATGGAGACTGCCCAGGCTGGCCATCACTGAAGAATGAAGGGTGCTTTTTGTAGTTATAGATGTGAGAAATTGCTTTGGAGTGATAGCCTTGGATTTGTATGCCTTTTTCTTCTTATCTGGCACTGAGGGATCTTTCTTTTGCACCAAGCTGTAAACTTCAATACTGATTTCAAAGTCATTGGACACATCTTTCAGAGTGTACGTGGTGGAGAACATCAGGGCATCACCATTCAGAGAAGTGGCCGTGCTTGCCAGCGGGGTGGCCACTATGCTCTTGGCTCCTGCCTTCAGTATGAAGAGGAAGGAGTAACTTGCTGCATCTGGTTTCTGAACTGTGCTGCAGGCAAAATCTGCCTTGAGAGGCAAACGGATTTTTGACAAAGTGACTGACTCTTTGGACGGGACAAATTCACTTTGGGAGAGGAGACCAGTCTTATTCTTCCTCTGAGGTCCTTCACTCTTCAGTTTATTCAGATCATCCATCAAAAGTGTTCTCTTCTCAGTTGTGATCAGAAGCAGTCTTTCTGCCTCGGCTTCTTCCAGGGACCCCTTCCCGTGCTCCTCGTCCACACAGCAGTTCAGGGCCTGGCTGGCTTGGTAGGTCACCGACTGCTGCAGGTTGATTTCATTGTTGAGTTCCTGCATTTTCTGCTTGATGTTCACCTGACAAGAAAAGACACTCTTTTCTTCAGCATTCTTTTTTCCTTCTAATTTTGAAGTAGCACCTTCCGAGCAATCTGCTTAATTGAAGGACAGTCTGTTTCTTTGATTTTCTGAGATCTGTACGCATCAGTGCTGTAAAGAAGGTCACAGTCCTCACGGTCCTCAGAACCAATGCTATCACCAGACTCGGCCCGCGGGACACAGGTTCACTGGAACTTTCCTGATCTGGGACTCTCATGTATGCTACTGCCCTTCAGTTCCAATCTAGGAGAGGAAGCAAAACTCTCTGGACTTACAAGCCAACTGTGTGCCAGCTGAGCAAGCAGCGACATTGAGGAGATATTCAGGGCATCCTCCTGGTCCTCCCTGCTCTAGGCTCCTGCCTGGCCCATCTGCTCTGGGCTCCTGGCCACATCCAGCTCGCCTTCCTGCAGGACATCACTGAAGATGTCATTAGTCACTTTTGAACTATTGATGTCATCCATGCTCATCTCAGTTTCACATACCACTGTGGTCTGCTGCTCAACCTTTGGGTCTGATGTTACTTTTAAAGACTTTCCCTCTTCTAAAAACAATGTTATTTTCAAAGGGCTAGACTTCGTCATTTCACATTCAGTGAAACCTGCAGGCTCTGGGCTGGGGGGCTTTCCTGCCACCTTTTCCTTTTCTGTTTCTGGACATGACAGGATATTTGAAACAACTTGATGTTTTCTGAGGGGAGTGTTCTGAGAGTGAATTTCCTGTTTGGTTTCTAGTTGTTTGTTTCTTGAGTTTTTGCCTTTTTCTTTACTCCATAAATTGCCCTTGTCAAATCGGCCACGAAGACATGCTAGTTCTTTTTCACGTTCTGCTTGAGCTGCTGCGCTACATGGGTCATAGATGAAGATGTGTTTTGCTTTAACAGTCTTTCCTGGATGGCCTTGGTGTTTGGAGTGACCACGGGGGTCCTGTGGGACATGCTCTGCGTGGGGCTGTCTTTGCTGTGTTCTAGACAGCACTCTCCGAAGTGCTCCAGAAACGGCTTGACTCCTGCTCCTGGTGTTGTAGATTTGTCTTTAGAGTGAGACTGCAGACAAGTTTCTCTATTTACTTCTTCTTTGGGCTGAACTGTCTGGGATTCGGCTGATTTCCCGATTGTTTTCCATACCTCTGTTTTCAAAGGACTAGCAGGAGTTTTTTGAAGTCGCTCAGGTTTTCGTACCTCACAATTTTTAGCATTGGTGACAGATATAGAAGCTTTCACAAGGGAAGAAGCAGCTTTTGCAGTGCTGGAAATGGCACTCTTAGGCAAGGAGACACCCCTATGGGGCAGGACTTGCTTCAGTGGGGCTTTGGTGTTCACTGAGTCTGCCTCTTGAGTGTGTCACTTATGGATGTGAGGAGTTGAAATCTGGTATTTGACCACTGGGTACACTGGCTCCTGGATCTCCAAGGAGGTGCAATGTCAGCCACTGCCTGAGGCCACCCAGCAGGAGCTACAACGAGATCTGCAGATTTCTCCTCTTTGTTCAGGGTTTGGAAGTTTTGGAGCTCTCTGACCCAGCTGCAGTTTGTTAGGTTAGGCTGCGAAAGGACAGACCATTCATATGCATAAGCCGTTGTGCACAGCTTGGGTGGGGTTGTAAATTGGGTGGGGCGGGGTCTCAGGGAATCACCAGGGTGGAGCAAACAGAGATGGCTGCCAGTCAGCCCTCTCCTCGTCTCCATGTCTCTGCGTCTCCAGGTTTCCGCGTCTCCATGTCCCCACATCCCATGCCCCCACACAGTAACAATGATCCCTGTAAGCACCTCTGCGAGAAAGCCACCCTTGCTTTCCGACCTGATGACAAACAGTCCAGTTTCTCCCCGTAGGAGTCTGGGTCCCCAGAGTCTCGCCAGAAACTGGAGTTCAGAGCAGTCAGGAGCTTATATCTCCCTTCCAATTGAAAAAAACAGCGCACTCAGTTGCCAGCCCATTTCACGCGCCTCCGTACCTCCACTCTTGGCGCCTCCGCACCTCCTACCCAGTCTCAATGCACTTTCCTCTTTCCTTCTAATTGTAGAACTTCCACTCAGCCAACTTTCACGTGGTTCTGGATGATAGCCATTTTGTCTTTTAGTTGTAGTTTTGGTGTGGTTGTAGGAGGCAGCACATACAAGTGTATACCTTATGCCACCATCTTGGTTCCTCCCATTATTTTTTCTTATTCTTTCACACCAGAAAAGAATTTTCCAAGAGTCTTTCTTATTCTTCTCCCTCACTTTTCCCACAGCAGGAAGCTGGCCTAGTCACCACCTCCTAGTTCAGCGGTTCTCAACCTGTGGGTCGCCAACCTGTGGGTCGCCAACCTGTGGGTCGCGACCCCTTTGGGGGTCGAACGACCCTTTCACAGGGGTCGCCTAAGACCATCGGAAAACACATATATAATTACATACTGTTTTTGTGATTAATCACTATGCTTTAATTATTTTCAATTTGTAACAATGAAAATACATCCCGCATATCAGATATTTACATTACGATTCATAACAGTAGCAAAATTACAGTTATGAAGTAGTAACAAAAATAATTTTATGGTTGGGGGTCACCACAACATGAGGAGCTGTATTAAAGGGTCACAGCATTAGGAAGGTTGAGAACCACTGTCCTAGTTGTTCTTCTCTTTGAAAAGTGGAGGGGAAAAGTGCCCTGGCTACCAACTGAACATCCTCTAACCAGCACTTAATTTGTGGGGTCCAAACCAAATGAAACACCAGGACCCTATTTCAAAAGTTATTAAGCATTTCCAGGTGGCAACAATGGAACATTAAACCAAGCCTAGGGCTCTTCTCAGGACATACACGTGTGAAGCCCACCTTGCCTCTGGCAGAGGGAGCACTGCTCAGATGGAGCTGGAACCTCAAGAAACACACACACAAAGCAGCCCAGGAGGAGGTCTTTGAAGGGAACAGCCTCCTCACGTCCTCCACCCTGTTAGTATGAAAGGTAGTTTTGGCCAAGAAGCAAGAAAAGAACATTGATTGGCATCAGGCATCATATGGGATGGTTGTATTTAATGCCAGCTATTGCATTTTATTCTTGTAACAGCATTCTGAGGAAGATATGTCAATTTAATAGATGAAAGCAACTGAAAGAATGCTAGCAATGTTCCCAAATTGTACAAATTTAAAAGTGATAGCTATTGTATTTTTAATTCTGGTCTGACTTCTCCAAAGCTTGCCCCTATTATGGTGTCCTGTAGGCTCAGGAGAGTGGATTCTTAGTGATCCTCCTGAGTACTAGAGATAAGCCCATTTAATCAAATGAAAAGGGAAGCTAAGGAGTATGCTGATTGCAACAGTATCCTTTGTGCTTCCCTGGAAGCAATGTCACAGAGGAGGCTCCTGTGCTCAGCCTTAACTTTATGCTTTTTTCTGGCTATTTAAGGTATCTGAAATTTTCTCCAGACAGAAGTAAAGAAACTCTGTCTGCTGTCTTTGAGTGCTCACCAGTCCCCAGGAATTGGTGTCCTGACTGTCTTCAGATTCCCCTATACTCTCACATTGGTGCCCACAGCATACCCTTCCCAACAACATCCCAGACCCTGGACTTTCCCAAACATCGTTTTCATCAAACTGTCTTGACCCTCCATCCCTCTCATGGAAGGGAAGGAATGTAGTGTGTTGCGTTAATTAACCAGATCAGCATATTTATGAGTCAATACTTTAACTGGACCCTCAAAATGCAAATAATGTGTGAATTTCAAGGCTTTATAGCAAGGTCCCTGAAGTGAATTTTTTCTCCTGAGGAATAGTTTCTTGAACCCCTGCTATTCAACAGCATGTTTATACATATAAGTAAAATAAATGCTTTAGACATGATTATTATGTTCACAGGTTAGCTAATAAGTTGTAGAAAGTAACCTCACATACCACAGAACTTTCCAGGCAGCAGCGATAAAACATTTTACTTATGTTCTGTAATATCCTGTATCCTGGTAGTGCTAGCCCTACACTGAACAAAATTGTCACTTCTGCCAAATTTCATGGTCAGTGATTCTATGATATGGAGAAATGACCAGAATGGATTAAAATGAAATCATCATCAACATACAATGACAACCTATGACAGGCTTGAAACATCTTTCCCAATAGTACATTTGTATCTTAAACTACGTCACCATGGAGTCCATTAAAACAGTAAAAAAGTACTTGAGGAAGCATTCATACAAAAACATACACAATATACTCAAAATTTCAATTTTGTTCTATTGGATACAATATACACACTATCTCAGAGTTCCCTGATTTTAATATTAAAATGTTCACCTTTAAAAAGAAAGAGGGTATGCTGTGTAATAAACCAGGTTCATGCACAAGTCTCAAACAATTTTAAAAGAATAAGCTATTTATATTTAAATTTAGAATGATTTTATCCTTAACTTTAAATAGTCTAAGCTCTAATATTCCAGGAAATGACTTATAACAAAATAATCAAGTCATACTATGAAGATCTGATCCAGAAGAATATGGAAGGACATTCCTGATCTTGTTCTTTCTGCTTGTCCTCTGCTGCTTTTGCCATTATTCACCCTCTTTTGAAACTCTCTTTTCCTTAATTCCATGAAACTGCCATATGTAATTAATGTTTTCCTCCTTTATCCTCTTTCTCCATTGTGGTTCTCTCCCACTCCCCTGTCTTCCAAACACCAGTCATGGTTCTCTACTCATCACTTCTCTCTCTCTACCATTGACTGTTCCTCCTTGCTCCTTGTCATAACATCAGCTCATCTCCTTGGCTCTAAATCTGATCTCTCTACTGACTTAAAATTCTGTATTTTCAATAATCTAAACCTCTTTTCACCATGAACTCAAGAAATCTGACATGAAATGCCTAAAGTAGATTACACTGTTAGAGGAGATAGAACGTTCCCTATTATTAAAGATGTCCATTCTTATATTGAACCTTCCCTTGGTAAGATGATATAGAGGGGATCTGAACACTGGAAATGAGGTTGGACTAAATGAGCTTTAGTTAAGGTTCCATAAACAAATTAGTTTCTTCTTTTGAAATTGTCCTGGTCACCCAGACACAAAATCATGGAGTTAGTGTTGTTCCTTACTTTCCTTTTTCCCTCCATATCTAATTATTGGCAATAATTATTATTCACTAAGTTCCACTAATTCTCCTAAACAACTTTGTTGGATCCCTCCTACTCTCCATTCCCCTAACCACCAGGCTCGTACAGCAGCAAACTAAGCTGATGCAGCTGATGCCTTTGAATGGAATCTGGGATGACTCTGGACCTAAAACTTCTGTGGCAATCTTTTTATCAGCAGTCAAAACTCTTAATGAATAGAGCTTGAATAAAATGAGCAAAATGATGAAGAAGAAAGGATGAGGAAGAAAAACAAGGGAAAAAGTGGACCACTTTTTGTCCCCAGTTGGCTATTGTGTCTTCGAGGGTAGGCTGCTAGACTCTCTGTTGCCTCTGGGTTTATGGAGTCCCCTCCCAGGTCTGCTGAGAGTTTGTTTGATAAGTTCTATCTCTCTTCCCTCAAAAGCCCTCAACCTCCATCTTTCCCTCACTACTTCAGAATTTCTCAGATACGTAACCTGACCTAATTTCCCTTCTCGTGAGAAAAAAAAAAGCGAATACATTTATGTTAAGATAAGAAAAATGTTTATAATATCATGCTTAATTAAGAAAAACAAATCCATGATTGTATATAGAGTATTATCTCAGTTGTCCAGTGATGCCTCCTGCTGGCTTTGCTATCTCTTCCTTCACTTGACATCAGCCTCCATTCTGAGGGTCTTCTCTTTGTGTCAATAACAAGTGACTCACAAAGAGTAAGCACTAGATGCACATTTTTAGATGAACAAATTAATTCTGTAAACAATACACATATATTTCCCCTAAAAGTTGGATGAATTAAAAGTACAATCTATTAAGAGATGTCTGGTTATCAGTTTCTCAAGTGCATAATGGAGTTCAGAGAATGATGCATATAAGTTCAGTACTTTTCCCTCACCATACAATTTTTTTAGTATTCATTAAGAGATTTATATCAACACTAGGCATGGAAATCAGAGTCTCAGCCTCAATGATGAAAGTGATAATTACTCTGGTAAGCAAGGCTAGATCTTTATGTATTTTGCTGATATATTGAATATATACCATTTATGGAAAGCAGGAAAACTTGGGGTGGGATTCACATACTTGTTTACTTACTTTAGTTACTTTATTAACTACAAGTCAGTTAAGTTTCAATTATGTTGTTGACAATATGAAAGAATCAACAAATAAATTCAAAAAGAGTAAATGCATATTGTTAGTGTTTACTTATTTATATATTACTAGAGGCTCAGTCATGAAATTCGTGCATGGGTGGGGGGTGTTCCTCAACCCGGCCTGCACCCTCTCCAATCTGGAACCCCTCAGGGGATGTCTGACTGCTGGGTTAGGCCCAATTCCGCAGGGGTCTGGCCTAAGCCAGCAGTTGGACATCCCTCTTACAATCTGGGACCACTGGCTCCTAACTGCTCGCCTGCGTGCTGCCTGATTGCCCCAACCACTTCTGCCTGCCAGCCTGATCGCCCCCTAACCACTCTCCTGCCGGCCTGATTGTCCCCAACTGCCCTTCCCTGAGGGGGCCTGATCATCCCCAACTGCCCTCCCCTGCCAGTCTGATTGCCCACAACTGCCCTCCCCTGCCAAGACCTGCCTCCTCTGTTGGGACCAGCCTCCTTTGTGCCATGCAGAGCCATGGGAACCCCAGACCTCACTGCGTGGAGCAGCCACTGAGCCCCGCCTCCACTGTGCACGTGGCCATCTTGTAGTGGCCATCTTCTGGCAGCCATCTTGTGGTGCCCATCTTGTGGCAATGTTGCCCGAGAGCATCTCACAAGGGAGTCACACGAGGGTGTCTCACAAGGGGGTCATGCGAGGGTGTGATGCCACCTAGGCTTTTATTATATAGGACTAGTGGCCTGTTGCACGAAGATTCACGCAATAGGCCTTACTTCCCCTGGCTGCCGGCACCGGTTTTTCTCTGGCACCCGGGACCCAGGCCTTTGGTCCGGCCGCAGCAGTGAGGCTTGGCTTCTCCACTCTGACTGCTCCTAGCCCCTCCTTTTTATTTTTTTCCCCCAGCTCCTTGAGCAGAGCCCAAGCCCCCAGCCCCTCCTTGAGCAGAGTTCAGGGCCGGTGGGAAGCTTAGCTTCCTCCGTCACCAGAAGCAACCCAAGCCTCCTGCTCGCTCCAGCTCTGTGACTGCCACCATCTTCAGTTATCTTCAGTCTTCGCTCTGAGCCTGTGCATGCAAATTAACTGCCATCTTTGTTGGGTTAATTTGCATAATCTCTCTGATTGGCTGGTGGGTGTAGCGGAGTGGCAGAGTGACAGTGATGGTTAATTTGCATGTTTCTCTTTTATTATATAGGATAAGCAACCATTGTATATTATCTATTAATAGCAACCATCTTTCTTAGTTGCTCCCACATCTTCAGATACATACTTCACAGCAATACCCACATTTTCTGGTCCTGAGAACAGACTAATTGAGTGGGTGCTCTGTATTATAAAGTGTAATTTGCCTAAAAAGAAGATTGCCATTTCGCTCATTAATTTTACATTACCATACTGTGCTTCTATTGGCATTATCACAGTGCTATCTACAGCTACCTACTGCGATTGCAAAAATACACAAATCGTTCTGTCATTAAGAAGAGTAAACAATTCTCTGAGTGATGCAAGGAAAGAAAACACTTTTACAATCATTTTCTCTGGCTATAGCAAACTGCTCTACGATTACAGTGTGTGTTTGCATGTAAACAGTCATGTACAATATCAATTGACCTCATGGAGCTACTTCATTGCTCTTGCACTATTGAACTGTTTAAGATGGCTTGCTCTCCTGCAGAATGTTGGTTTAATGACATAAACAAAAGAGACTATTGACATTGTTATAAAGATGTAACTCCAGCCCTTGTGGGTGTGGCTAAGTGGTTAGAGTATCGACCTAGGCACAGAAAGCTCTTGGGTTCAATTTCCCATAGAGGGCATGTACCTGGGTTGCAGGTATAATCCCTGCCCCAAACTGGGGAGTGTGTGGGAGGCAACCATGTTTCTCTCTCTCCACTGTCTCTCTCTCCTTGTCTCCTCCTTCCACTTCCCTTCCACTCTCTCTAAAAATCAATGGAAAAAATATCCTCACTCTGGTGAGAATTAAAAAAAAATAGATGTGACACCATTTAAATTTTCTCTCTTAATTATAAATCATTAAAAAGTAAGTGAAAAAAGGGTCCTGGCAGGTGGCACAGTTGGTTGGAGTGTCATCCAGTACACCAAAATGTTACAGGTCCAATTCCCAGTCAGGGCATGTACAGGAGACAACCAATTGATGTTTCTCTCTCACATTGATATTTCTCTCTCTCCCCCTCTCTCTGTAAAAATAAATTTAAAAAACACACATATCCTCAGGTGCAAATTATAAATAAATAAATAAATAAATAAATAAATAAATAAATAAATAAATAAATAATAGTGATGGCTATAGTATAACTACTAACATAGTTGTTTTCATGTAGGACTTAATATATCTGTATTTGTCAATACTC